TACTTCAGGGCAAAAAATATCTGAGAATTCACCAAAAAATACAAAAATGATACAGGAATTTCAATATGATGTTAGATGAAAATATAATTGGTGGTGCCTTTAAAGTTTTTTTCAGAGTCAAAATATTCTGCTTGCCAAGTGTTAAAATGCTAACATTTTCCTGCCAGGAAAAAGCACCAGGGATGCTCTAGCTTTCCCTCTTTGTAGCACTGGGAGGTCAGTACACAGGTTTTCCTGATTTGTTAAAAAATCCAAGCTCATTACTATCATTTATGTCACATTTGGTAATGAAAAGATTGATGCTGACTCAGGTTCTAATTTTTTTGGTAGATTTTCCTCAAAGGAAAAAAAATTCTGAATTTTAGAATTGTTATTTGTACCCAAGTTTATCTTACCTTTGAATTAGTATTCAAGAGAGATAAATACAATATTTTATACAATACCTTGCATTCTCTAACACCAAGAAAATTAAGTTAAAAGTTACTGTAAAATATTATGAACATATAGAAAATTATAGAGACATACTTCTTTATCATATCTGAGGATCTTGAGATATTTGCTTCATTTCTTAAACACAGTTGAAGTCCCCTGTGAAAGCTGATTTTAAACATACATAACATCTTTTGTTCTGACGAGAAAATTATTATATACTAAATAAGAAAAATATACAAGAAAGGATAATACAAATCACAAATAATTTAATCACCCAGATACACCTATAGTTAACATGTTGGTGAATGTCCAACTAGTCCTACAAATGCTACATAGAGTCTTATTTTAGAAGGCTTTTTATAAATACAAAATCTAATAGATTTTTTATATTGGCATGAAAGAAATGTCATAATTTCCTATTATGATATTTTGTCAAAAACAATAAAAACAACATAGCAAGATCAGTTTTCCACCTGCAAGCATTGTATGCCCATTCAAATAAGCTTCTTCATGTAGATCATTAGATAGTAGAATGAGATTTTTCCTCAGTGGGATACCTTCCCTTTAGGTGTTAAAGAAGCTCACTTTGGAAAGTGTTTGCCATCACTTGTATGGGTAGAACTGGAGTAGAGGAACTGAGGTGTGTGGAAACAAGCTTCTCAAGAGAGAAGGGCTCCCTGTTACTCCTGGCAAATTTCTCAATGAAAAACAAACAGCAATGGTTTGGCTTTTCCATTTCATGAATTAGGCAAAGACAGCTCCACTCATGGTCAGAGTACAGATTCTTGGTCTTTTTACTGGTCAAATTCTAAGTGTTCTTGCTTTCCTGCTCATTGAGAGGAGGAGCTGGAGGGGCCAGGAGGAAAGTAAAGTCAGTCTTAGAGGGGGGCTTCTGTGTCATTTTTTTCTTTTACCAGTTGTTAAAGAGCTATTGCATATCATGGGCACATGATGGGTGTGAAAATTTAGTCAGCTCCATGGACGGCCCTGGGGTGAGGAATCAAAGGAATATTCCTTACAAAATCTGTAATGTTTCAAGATAAGAACATACTTAATATAGTGATTAAAAGATATTGGAGGCAAAATAATTTTTTCCTTAATAATGCTGAACATGAGGCTAATAGTAATCCAGATACTTACAAATGTAAAATTACTAAGGACTGTTTTTATTCTGCATTTAAATTGCTGTGAGGAATCTGGTCAAGTGTTTAACAGGAGGAGAAAACAGGTATTTTGCAAAGGGAGTAACCAAAGAAGGTCAGATATGCCAAAGGAAGTTGGATCAACATTGTGTTTTTAGTAGACAACATTATATCTACAAAGACTATTCTTGTCTTTTTCTAGGTGCCAATATTATTTAAACTCTATTTAAAATTTT